TTTCTAGAAGTAACCAATCCTGTTGATCTTTTTAAAGAACCAGGTTTTAATGCTATTCTAGTCGTTTTATGTTTTATTTTTTATTGATACCTGTTGTTATCATCTATTTTATTCTTCAAGCTTACTTTGCATTTAATTTGTTCTCCTTTTTCTACTTTCTTCCCCTGCCCACCCCAGGAATAAGGAAAGACTTTAATAGAGGAGGAAAGGAAAATGGAGACTGAGCAGGTGTCAGGTCTGCTCCCACACAGTTGCCAAAGACTTTTATTAGTGTCATCAGGATAGCCAGAATGGGGCAATGAGTCCAGGAGTACTGCCTGGGGCTCTTCTCTAGTGGGGGTCAGGATTATGGGGTACACTTAGGGTCAGGATTATGGGATAGGCTTAGGGCCAGGATTATAGGCATATTCTTAGTACCAGCCAGGATTCAGTCTGGAGGCAAGAGTGCAAATCAGGGCAGGGAGAGTTGAGCACAAGCAGGGTCATTACGCCTTACATCCTAAGCTGGAGACAGGTATTTTATTCTATAGGTGATGTGGCTGCACTGATTCCCAGGGCATCTGGTTGGATCAGGATTTAGAAAAATCATAAGTAAGATGCAAAGATTGATTGAAATCTAAGACATTCAAATGCTAGCAATATGGTCAAGCCTCTGATGCTTCAGCTGAGAAAATTCTTATAGAAAGAGTTCCATATACACACACACAAAGAAAGAAAAGAAAAACTTGGCAAAACTCTTAGGAATTTCATCTTTTGAGAATCAATCCATAAAAGAAATGTACTTTTTAATCAAACTTATCATAGTGTAGGGTGGTATGGGAGAAAGATATATATAACATAAAGATATCTATAATGAATGTATATATAGCGTAAGCCAGCTTTGACGGAAACTAAAAGTGTGAGCTCATAACGTCAGACAGTGGATAAGCAGGCACACCCAAGGGCAAGGGGCTCCAGGCCTGTGGGTATTTAAGGAAGGGAATTTAAATCATGGAATAATTAGGGTATGGAATTGCAGCTTGACCTCAAAAAGAGACGACCTTTGATTACGTTTCATAGGTGGAGGTAGAAACAAATCTTCTTCCTTGAATGTGTGAGCATTTCCACACAGAAACACTCTGAGAATGGTAACTGCATAAGCAACTAAGTTCTTCTCATCCTCCCGAGTTCTGGAATGAAAGTGAAGAGAGGATTATTAGGCAAAGAAGGGAGTGCTGTGGACTGAATGTTTATGTCCCTTATTTGTTGAAATTTTACTCATCCCCCAAGATAATGGCATTAGGAAAAGAAAGGGCCTTCCTGAGGATTAAACCAGAGCCCTTGGGATTGGATTAGCACCCTTGCTAGAGATCCAAGAGCACCTCTTCTACCACATAAGGTCACAGCTGCAAGGTGCCATCTGCGAACCAGAAAAAAAACTCACCAGACACCAAATCTGCTAGCGCCTTGATCTTGGACTTCACAGCCCCCAGGACTGTGAGAAATAAATTTATATTGCTTATAAGCTATTTATTTTGTTTAGCCGGAACAGGCTAAAACAAAGAATTCATGGTTAGAGTCTTTCTCTCCTCTAGGCAGGATCCAGCACTTGCTAAAGAGGAAAAAAGTTTACAGAAAAATTCAACAGCCATTGGCTTGTCTTAAAAATATGCATAATATAATAGTACATTTCAAAACTATTAAGAATAGAGTATAAATGTCTTATCACAACAAATAAGGTGATGGTTACGTTAATCAGTTCGATGTAAGCATTCCACATTGTTTATCAATTCAGCACATTGTACCTCATAAGTGCATTAATGTACACAGTCATTATTTAATAAAGAAAAAATAAAAATAAAACAGTTCCTTCAGACGAGAACCATAGATGGGTTAGCAGGACTTTGTGGGGGCAGCACCTGCTGGTATTATAGACTGGATGTGCATCTTGTGGCTGGAAGCCATCCCCAAATTTCTCCATCAGGCATCTCTGTGTCACAGGGGGTAACTTCCTGACTCTTAGGAGATAGCCACACATTCAAAGACTGGGCTATGTGTCCCTTCAAGGCTGGGGAGATGCTAGAGACCAAAGAGAAAAAGTCTTTATCGAGTGGCCTTTGCGGCTCGGCGCCTATAGCTCAAGTGGCTAAGGCTCTAGCCACACATACTGGAGCTGGTAGGTTCGAATCCAGCTCAGGCCCGGCTAAAAACAATGACAACTCAAGTGGCATTTGCTTGAGGGGCAAGAGGATACAGAAAAGGAATTATGCCAGGGACACTGTGCAAAGATAAGGTAATTTGGTGAGGTAGAGGGCAAGTGTGCAGGACAAAAGTGAACACAGCTGCCCCGCTTTAGTAAGGCCTGCTTACTAGCTCAGCCCTTGGCTATGTGGAAACATGGATTTTAGGAGAGTTTCCACCATTCTTACGGGTGAAGAGGAATGCATTGTGCATAAACTACATGCACAGACAATAGGATTTATGCTTTCCTTATGCAACTCCGGAATTTCACTTCGTGCTGGGCAGAGGGCACCTATGGGACCAGGCCTCAGTATAAACCCTGGGCACTGCTGGTGAGCTTCCCCATGAGGCAACATTCACACGTGTGGTCACAGCTCCTTGTGGAGGAGTTAAGAGCATCCTGGGTGACTCCATTGGGAGAGGACCATTCGGAGCTTGTGTCTGTTTCTTCCAGACATCATCCCGTGGGCCTTTTTTCTTTGCTGATTTTGCTTTCCAGCCTTTCACTGTGATAAATCTTAGTCATCAGTACAACTATAGTCTGAGTCCTGTGACTCTTCCTAGTAAATCATCCAACCTGGGGAATCCCTGAGATAGCAAGACTTGGAGGAACGGCTCCTGTAAAAAATGACTACTAGGTATTGGCACTTTATTTTTTCAGGTTTCACTTTACCATCTTGTTAGGTAAAGTCCCTCTTGTTTTATCTCCAATGTGTGTATTTAGTTTTATTTTCATCTTCCAGAATTAAACACTTGATTATGTTAGGTGTATTATCTTTTTTAACAAATACAATATTCAGGATTTTTCGGATTTTAGAAAGGCACTAAATATACCACATGTTATGAAATATCCTAGGGGGTCTGGGGAAGGACCCATACTTAAATACATTAATATGGCTGCTTTCAATGCAGGAATAGTCTCACCAAGAGGAATAAATACAGATTCTAATTAGCCTCACATTAGTCCAGGTCAGAGCTTTCCACCAGATCAATTTGTGCCAAATTTAAAGGATTAAAAAAAAAAAACTTAAGAATTTTTAGTGACCGGGCACAGTGGCTCACAACTGTAATCCTAGCACTCTGGGAGACCAAGGTGGGCAGATCGCCTGAGTCTCTGGGTTTGAGACCAGCCTGAGCCAGAGCAAGACCCCATCTTTAAAAATAGCTGGGCTTTGTGGCAGGAGCCTGTAGTAGTCCCAGCTACTCAGTAGGCTGAGGCAAGAGAATTGCTTGAGCCCAAGAGTTTGAGGTTGCTATGAGTTATGATGCTACAGCACTCAACCTAGGGCAGCAAAGTGAGACTCTCAAAAAAAAAAGAAAAGAATTTTTAGAGCATTTGAATTTTAACACTGCAGCCCCGGGATGATTCTTATCGAGACGTTAAGGATTAGAATGAATTAGAAAAGTTAATTCATTTACCAACAGTAGCACAGCTTGTATCTGAGCTGGATTTCAAATTTTGGGCTGTCTAGGCCACATGCCAGAGAACTCTATTACTTCATTCTGTCTTTCTAGTTACTTTTAAAATCGTGCCTTCAGTGTCTGAATATGACTAATGAGGAGGTAATGTAAGAACAAGGAGGAATAGAAGAAAAGAAAGTAATTATCCTTCTTTGGAAGGGGCATTTGGGGATTTTCCTTTCCCCATGAAACTGATTCTAGATGACTTTTTTTTTTTGCTTTATGTGAGTCTAACTAGACAAGGTGGCCCCCAAAAGGACAGAGATGCCAATTCTTTCTCCTATATCCCTACTCATCTCTGCTGTATCTCTAACCGTGGTCATCCCCAAACTGAGAGAGAGAGAGAATATGTGCGGGGGGTGGGGGGCGGGGGGCACAGCAGCAGGGTGTCTCATGTTTTCCCTCTTTTATTGCATCAAGCTCAATAATTCATTGAACTAGATTATTTTTAATTGAATTGAGTAGAAAGTTATTTTGGCTGAATTGGGATAACTTCCAGATTTCTCTGGATGGGAGGCTCTCTCATACTTCTTGGAAAAAGTTTCTAAGAACATCTTTGCCTTCTCTGTGGCAACAAAGAGATGGTTTAGAGAAAAGAGAAGCAACAGGCCTCCTCCTTCCAATCAAATACTTTCCTTCCAGAAAATAGTAAAATGTATCTTACATATTGTTGTGAGGAGGACTGGGGGGGGGGGAGCGAAACGTCCCTACCAATCAGATATATAGGAACTACTAAGTCTTGGTTTTGCTTCTTTGCCCTTCCCTGCCCCTGACTTTTGTTATTTATTTATTTATTTATTTTATTTGAGACAGAGTCTCAGTATATCGCCCTCGGTAGAGTGCTGCGGTGTCACCACTCACAGCAACCTCAAACTCTTGGGCTTAGGCAATTCTCTCCATAAATGCATTAATGTACACAGTTATGATTTAATTTAAAAAATTGCTAAGAGTCAAAAAAATAAAAAATAAAAAAATACAAATAAATTCTCTATCAGTTAGAAAGAAGCTGGTAACCCCGTTTGCTGGGTTCTTACATCCTCAGAGCTTTGTCATTCTAATAAGTCTGCTCTGCCTCGACTTGCAAACCAGCTTAATTTAATTCTAAATGAAATCTCTCACTTTTCATTGTTTGACGCAAGCTTAGTAATTCTCAGAAAATGGTCCTTGTTACATGAAGTTGAGCCAGAAATTCTGATATTCTGGGAAACTTACACAAACAGCTGTCATTCTGTGCAATGACTTCATTATTCAGTGACACAGTTAACAGCCATGTCTTACTTTTATTTGAAAATGTCTTTATCTTTCTCTGCTTGTTCCAGCAACAGTTTTCCTGGAGTTCTGGAAAAGACGGCGAGCCGTCATTGCTTATGACTGGGATTTGATAGACTGGGAAGAAGAGGAGGTTTGTATCATTTTTCCTCAGAATTTTTAAAAAAGCAAACCACCAAGAAATACACAGTGCCCTTGAATCATCCCTGTCTGCTCTGTGACAGAAGTCAGGTTTGCTCTTCAAGCATTTTCAGTACCTGCCTTAGCAGTAAAAAAAGGGACTGGAAAAATTTAAAGGAAAAAAATCACTTTGATTTCTTCCTTAGTGGAGCAGAACTCCATGACTAAGGGAAGCGTTTCACTTGTGAGTGGAGGCCCCAGAAGAATTGGTAGTAATTTTTTTTTTTTTTTTTTAGTTTTCTTAAATATAATCCATTTTCTTTACTTTAGCAGAAAAAAGGCATTGGTTTTACATCTCTAGGCACATGGAAGCAAAGAGAATTACTCCAAGGAAATGAGCAGCTCAGCCCAGGACAGTTCCCAGGTGTGCACCACTCTGAAGTCTTACATCAGGGGGTGAATGTGGACAGGAAACTGCTCCAAAGCAGCTGCCTTTGCCCAAAGTATAGGGCCAGTTCTAGGCAAAACTGCCCGTCTCTGAGGCCTCACCTTCTCAGCACATTCCCGGCCCTCTCACCCTCCTTTCACCCTCTCTCTCTCTCTCTTTTTTTTTTTTTTGAGAATCTCACTCTGTCACCCTTGGTAGAGTGTTGTAGCATCACAGCTCCCAGCAACCTCAAACTCTTGGACTCAGGTGGTCCCCTTGCCTTAACTGGGACTACAGGTGCCGCCATTATGCCTGGCTATTTTTTTTTTTCCTATTTTAGTAGAGATGGGGTTTTGCACTTGCTTAGGCTGGTCTCGAACTCCTGAGCTCAGACGATCCGTCCATCTTGGCCTCCCAGAGTGGTAGGATTGCAGGTGTGAGCCACTGTGCCCAGTCCTTCCTTTCATCCTGTTCTAGGCCAGTCCACTGTGCTCCTTCCTAACTTCTGTCTGGTTTTCATACTCTCTTTGCCCCTTTCCTGTCAGAATTCTCAGGTGCCCAGCTGGGCCTGGTCACCCCGTTCCCCAATTCTCTCTCACCAAACCTGAGTCTGGTTTCCTCAGAGCCTTGCTGGGCTAGTCAATCAGAACAACTGTTCATCCACATGTAATATCATAATGGAAATTAATGTGTGTTTTCCTTACCAGAAACATTTATATGTATCTTTGTAGACTAAAATGAATCTTCTAGAAATACAAATGATGAGAATTTTAGCCCTGATTGGCTTGGTAAGAACAGCATTTCTGAGAGTCTTCTTTTTTGTTCCTATGTTTCCTTTGAATCAGTCTTCAATCATTTGAATAGCTGCCTTTTCTCCTTCTGTCCATGAAACCCTTTGGAGGAGCTTTCTGTTTTGTTTGGGGTCTTAGTTTGGTTTTATTGTCTGTACTTAAGGTATATAACATGATGTTTTTGATATACAGTCCTGGGATATTCAGCAATCCATGTTCTTCTGATAAGGCCTTCTCTCATGGTTTTGTACACATTGCCCAGAAAACGATTTTCTGGGTTTGAAGAAGCTGCCCCAGCAGACTCTGGGGGCCAGTGACAGCAGCCAGGCTGTGTTAGAACATCCTCTGGGTGGCGGATTCTGCCGTTTCTGGTCACACGTGTTCATGGGACCAGTTCTCAGGAGGATAAGAAATGCTCTTTCCTAGGAATTCAAGTCACCACCAAGAACTGTGTCACCATGGGCAATTTCCTTCACCTTTGGCTTCTTTTTTATTTAGTTAAGATATAACTAAATTTCCCCTTTCCGCTATAAAGTGTGGCATCATTTGAATAACTCCAACCTCACTGGCATGTGTGGTGGGCTGAGGATGTGGGTACCCTTAACATAAATATATCCCTTGTCTGTCTGCTTCTATCTTCCCAGCCACTGTTAAAAGCTCAGAGAGTGGCTCGGCGCCTATAGCTCAGAGGCTAGGGCACCAGCCACATACACCTGCCCCAGGCCTGCCAAACAACAGTGATAACTATAACAAAAAAAAAAAGTAGCCAGGCATTGTGGCAGGCACCTATAATATAGTCCCAGCTACTTGGGAGGCTGAGGCAAGAGAATCGCTTAAGCCCAAGAATTTGATGTTGCTGTGAGCCCTGATGCCACAGCTAGTGAGACTGTCTCAAAAAAAAAAAAACAAAGAAAAAGCTCGGAGAGCTGAACTGTTCCTTCCCCAGCATCCCTTTGTACATGAGCCTGCCTCTAGCCACAGATCGTTCAAACTGTCCCCACAGTTTGGGGTTCATTGTGAGAATGCCCCATACCTTCATCCTTCTGGGGTAACCTAGTATATTAGCTTTCTGGGCCTGCCATAACAAAGCAGCATAGCTTAAACAATAGTCATTTACGTGCTCCCACTCTGGAGGCTAGAAGTCCAAGGTCAGGGTATTAGCAGGGTCAGTTTCTTCTGAGATCCATCATGAAACAGTCCTGTCTGGGCCTCTCTCCTAGGTTTACAGAGTGTCCACCCTCTCCCCGCGTCTTCACATCATCTTCCCTTTGTGTGTGGCTGTGTCCAAATTTCCTCTTCTTATAAAGATACCAGTCATATTGAATTAGGATCCACCCTGATGACTCATCTTAATCACCTCTATCAAGAACCTATTTCCATATCTGGTCACATTCTGAGGTACCAGGAGTTAGGGCTTCATCTTGTGAACTTAGGGGACATGATACAGTTCTGCCTATAACTCCAAGGAGCACAGACCTGGTTCTGGGACTGGCTTCCAGTTTTGATTGGATCACTACGCGCTCTTCATGATACTTAGAGCCTAATATCGTTGAAGGAGGCACAGCCTGCTTCTAAGTGTGTCTCCTCCTGATCTTACCCATGACTGCCCGAGTGAGGTCCAGCACTGGGCTGACACAAAGGACAGACACCCTTCACGCTACATCGGCGGCATCGCCCAAACTGGGCTCACCGTCCTTGACCTCTCTCCCATCAGTTCTTTTTCTGTGCTCTTCTTCTAAGCCTCCTGTCCTTCTGTGTGGATTAACTCAACCCCCGTTTCACCAGAGTTTCTGCTCATTATCCATCCTCTTCCGAAACACTCAAATAAAACGTGTCCTTAATTACCCGGAACCAACGTCAACAAGCCCTGGTGCTAAGTCCCTTTCCCTAATCCCCGTAATTGCTTTTTAGTCAGAAGCTTTTCATATGTGGATGGGGCTCAGCTAAATGCAATAGAATCTTAGCTTGATTTAGAATTCAAGGGGCCTCGATTTGAGCTGGTTTTGAAAGGTATTTACCTCGTTTTCGGTAACAGTTAATCACACCCTTAGAATCTATTGTTGAAAGATGAATGACTCCTCTCGGAGCTTACCAAAAAGCCCATCCACCATGGTTTTAGTTCCGTAAATCTAAAAATGCAAAAATTAAAATTCACAGGAGAAAAATTGAGAGTTATATTGTCCTTATAACTTACAAAATATGTTCCTATTCAGAAACCTTCTTTGTCCTGGTGTCCATACCATTCCCTGGTAATACAAGTAAAAGCTTATTAGATGTTCCAAACCACTAGGGACAGAACATGCGGTCCCTTTAAAAATATTATTTGCAGTTTCTTTCTTCAGGCTGCATTTAATAACAGAGAAATGTAACTGTTAGTTTAAATCATATTGCTTTTGATGATAGTAAATCATGACCTTCAGTCTTTAAATTTTCTTCAAGGGGCCCATTTCCAAACACTGAAGCTATTGACTCAGTTGTACAATGGGGTAAAAGGATATATATATATTTTTTTTTATTGTGTGAACAGTGCTTTAGTGCATAAAAATGTATCTGTTTGTCCTTTAGGAAGAAATCCGACCCCAATTTGAAGCCAAATATTCCAAGAAAGAGCGGATGAATCCCATTTCAGGAAAGCCAGAACCTTACCAAGCATTTACAGATAAATGCAGCAGACTTATTGTTTCTGCATCTGGAATATTTTTTATGGTTTGAAACTTTATTTTTACAAAAGTCTCTTTGTTTCATAAACTACCAATCTGTAGCTCAATAATGATAATAATTATATCATGCCTTTGCATAGTTCTACAAAACAATCTTGTACTATATGTTATGTCATCCTCATAATAACTCCATTTCGCTGTCGGGGATGGTATTGCTCTGCCCATATTACAGATGGAACAGCTGAGACTCTAAAAGGTTATGGGGCTTGACCAGGGACAGCCAGTAGGTGGCTAAGAGCTCAGGCCCTATGTGCTAACATTCTTTCCACTTGCTTTGTTGTGCTGAAAGGAACTCAAAGTTTGAGTTAGGATCCACAGCAGTATTTTCCAAACTTTTTGCCATGCCATACAGTAAGAAATGCATTCTCCGTCATAAGCACCATACGCAGTAGATTCAGAAACTTCACGTATATAGAACAGTAAATACAGAAAACTAGGTATAGTAACTAAAACACTGCTCACCTTCACCATGTAGTAAACTCTTGAGTTTTATTAGTCTATATATTTTAATGCCAGATAAAATATGATAAAATTGACTTTCTGACTACAAATGCTCATATCCATTTGAAAAACACTAACTTAGAGCTGAGTTCGTTCCTAAAAAGAAGTCATTTAGACTTGAACTTTGACACCATTAGTTTCGGAACAAAACATGCACATTTTTCAGAAGTGTCATTTTAGAACAATCAGCTCTTTCTTTCCTTTTTCCAAATGACAAGTATATAAATATATACCCTAAACACTGCAGTATGAAGGGCAAGACTACAGCATGGCCAGGCAGTCTACTCCCTTTGGCCAGTGAAGAAACTTGGGGGATGAAAGGCTGGAAAGCTTGCCCACAGTCCCTGGGCTCAGACCAAGGTCCGAATCCATGCCCTTCTTCACACATCACTTTGTAAGCAACTGTGTCAGGGTTTGCCCTCTACACACACGTTTATATTTATTGTCTTGTTTTGTACATGAGACCCATACACATAGATGAAGCCTTCCCTAGTCTATAGATGGGGAGCTCAACACACAGTGCTGAAGCCACAGAGAGGACAGGTTTGCCCAAGGCCATGTTGCTAGGTAATAGCTGAGCCAGGGCTGCGATCTGTCTTCTGACTCTGAGTTCATGGGCTGTTTATCTACCTCCCTGCCACCTTTGTCTGAATCTCAGCACCGATTTTCCCTGTCTCCCAATCAACAGCTCCAGGATTAAGTTCTAAGCAGGTGTTTGTTTCTTTATTTGATGATTAATATATTATCATTATTATTTTGGCCAGTTCTAGTTTATATCCAAGCTTCTAGAGCATGTTGGCCTGAGAAGCAAGTATAAAAGAAAATTTGTACAAGACAAAGGCATACTCGTGTGAAGAAAGAAACCTCTAAGTCAGCAGAGGCCATCCGAAGGCCCTGCTTTAGGATCCAGTTTTTATAATTAAGTGGGCTGAGGTCTCTAAGATGAAAGTCACAAAACATTTTGGAGTCTCAGATTTGCATCACAGTTGGCCCTCATATTCACGAGTTCTGCATCTGTGGGTTCAACCAAACCCAGGTGGAAGAATTTAAGAAAAGAAGGAGTGGCTGTATCTGTCCTATACATATACAGACTTGTTCCCTTGTCATTCCCTAAACAATATAGTAAGAAAATCATTTCTTTAACATTCGCATTAGGCATTATAAGTAATCTAGTGATGATTTAAAGTATATGAGATGACATGCATAGGGTATGGAAATATTACACCACTTGATAAAAAGGACTTGATCATCCGTGGATTTGGGGTATTTGCAGAGGGTCCTGAATCCAATCCCTCATGAGGATGCTGAGGGATAACTCTATTTCACAGAGACAGAGATATGCTGTATTGTTCTCAAACACCAAGGCATCTTCAAGGAAAGATACTGCAGTCTGTGTGTATACTCAATTCATAAGGCACTAGGTGCCTGTCACATTGTTGGTTCATTCCACGACACCTACTGTGCATCTGTAATTATGCTAAAGAGCTACAGAAACCACCCTAAGCAAAGCATACCATCCCTGTCCTCATGGAGCTTATTTTCTAAATACAGCTATAATTTGTCAGATTATTGTCAAATCTTATATCAAATAAATTGTGAGAAATTCTAAGTAGTATCATGAAAGAAACTGTGCTTATATGGTATAGATTATAGATATGATACAACAGCAACAAATAGTCTGGGGGTCATGAGAATCTCTAATTATGAACTGGTGCTTAAGCTGAGAAGTAAAGAGGATGAATAGGGGTTAACTAGGGTGTGTGTGTGAGTGTGTGTGTACAGGAGATTGGGTGGGTAGGCCTTGGAGGAAAAGGAATTGGTCTTGAAGATCAAGGGCGCTTAGCCTGTAGAAGCAATGAGAGAAGGTGTGGGGTCCTCAGGGAGAAGAAACGGTGCATGCCCAGTGGGGCTGGATCTTTCGGGCCACAGTAAGATTTGCTTTCACCCTAGAACAGGAAACTAATAAACAATTTCAAACAGAAGAGCAGAATGATAAGATTTCCATACTAAATGTTTGTTCATCTGCTCCATCTAATATTCTTCTTTAAAAAGCGTTACCCATAGCTTGCGCAGATCCTCAATTTCAAGCAGTGTGGTTTTTCTATTTGAATAACAAAGAAAATACAGACAAGAGAAAGTATTAACCGCAAGGCCAAGTACGCATTTGACAGCAGTGTCTTGAGTCAGTACCGCCCCGCCCCTGGAGCATTATTTTTGTTTTGCATCAGAGGGTTTTCCAGAAATGTGAATCTGCTTCCTGAAACAGTCCACCAGAGTTGCTCACTGGGTCCCCTCTGTCCTCCTGCCAGATCTGCGTGGTGATTGCTGCCGTATTCGGGATCGTCATTTACCGGGTGGTGACTGTCAGCACTTTCGCTGCCTTCAAATGGGCGTTAATCAGGAACAATTCTCAGGTCGCCACCACAGGGACCGCCGTGTGCATTAACTTCTGTATCATCATGTTGCTGAACGTGGTAAGTGAGCTGCAAGGTAACTAGCCAAATGGATCAAAATCTGTGGGCTGCAAGTCATAGTTTTCTTGCTGAAGGGACCTGGCCTCAGAAAGACACTCACACAGTAGCAAAGTGCCAGGCATGGACATGCGCTCAGCTCTGAGGGTTTAAAAGGCTTGATTCAATCCAGGCTTCAGGATTTTTGCAGTATAACATTGGACAAGACACATAATCTCTCTGATCGTTAGTTCCCTTATTTGTTCAATAAGATAATGCTGTATACCCCTTGGAGAAATTCAGAGAAAGAATGTACGGTAGAACCTCTGTAAGTTGACCACCTAAGGGACTGTAACAAGCTGGTCAACATAGAGAGGTGGTCAACATAGGTCAGTACTAGGCCTACTTACTGATATATACATGAAGTGCATGCCTGGTCTGTGAAAATTAGGTCAACTTAAGGGGTTGGAGGGAGGTGGCCAACTGTGGAGGTTCTACTGCATTTAGAAGACCCCAGCTTGGAACCTGTGACATAGCTGGCTGTGTCGGTTCCTGTTTCCTTTTCCATTCTGAATGATGGGAAAGCAGGTAGTATCCAAAGCATTCCCTGAAGAAACCCCACAAGGAAACTATCAAGGTGGTATGTGTTGCCTTTGTTGATTTCCAGCCTTTTCTTTACTTGCATATTTCAGCCCAGATATCCTCCCCAAATTCCAAAGTCATATGTAAGACTGCCTACTTGACCATCTCCACCTAACTCTTTTAGCCCCCAATCCCCCACCTTACCTCCAGAATTTGCTCTTTCTAAAGCCTCCCCCATTTAGTTGTTCAGGCTAAAACCTTTGACACTCTCCTTGACTCTCTGTTTCTCTCACCATCAAATGTGACCAGAATTTGATCCTTTTTGGCACATGCCCAACTCCCACCCTGGTCCAGGCCCCTAGCATGTTTAATCTGAATTATTGCAGGGGCTTCCCACCCGGCCTCCCAGCTGTCAAGGTGAAGGCTCAGTGCAGAAGCTAGAGCTTCTCACATGGGAGTCACGCCTCTGTTCCCAAGGCAGTGGCTTTCATCTCCCTGGAGTAAACAGCCACATCTTTGTGATGGCTTCTCAGGTTCGCCTCATCTGGCCCCTATGACCTCTCTGACCTTAGCTCCTCCCCAGCTCACTCTGATTCACCTGCTCCAGCCACATTGTCCCTCAAGGGCTCTTATCCAAGGACTGTTTAGTCGCTGTTCTCTGCACCTGGAAACTTCTTTCCCCAGAGTCTGCATGGTGTGTGTCCTCCCCTCCTTCAGGTCTTGCTCAAACATTGCCTCTCTAAGAAGTGCTGCCTGGGTCCTCTCTTCACAATTCATGCCATCTGGCCATTTCCTGTCTCCTGGCCTGCTTTATTTTCCTCTGTAGCATTCATCGCCATCTAATATGCTGCATATCCTACTTAATACTTTGTGTATATCCATCATCATCATTCGAATGTTGGCCCCATAAGGACAGAACTTGTTCTCTGTTTTTGTTCTTGCTTTTTTCTGTTATTATTCCCTAGTGCCGGCAACAAGGCCTGGTCCATAAAAGTCACTCGGTAAATTGTTGTTATTTATTTATTTATTTATTTTGGAGAACAAAACATGGTAGCTGACAGGGTTGGACTTTGGGTTCAACCTGTACATAAAAATACTGATCTTGGGGTTGTAATAGGAACTAAAGCAGATAATGTATCTGGAGGGCCAAGCATAGTATTAGGTGTGGAGTAAATATTTAATTAATTCAAGTAGTTTTAATTTCCTTTATCTTAAATTGCACCTGAGATATGGGTCATAATATTGAAATGTTTGCCTCATTAGGAAAGGGCTTTCTAATGGCTAAGCAATTTAATATTCTTATCAATATAGCTTTATTTAGACTGGCATATCTAGTTCTTTAAACAATCCTGAATTCCATAAACAATCAACTCTGAGTGATTCCTGAGAGAATTCAACCTACCCAATAATAAATACTTTAGGATTCCTAGGTGAACAAGAAATCACTGAGCTAATGAAAAGAAGTCATTTAGTAGTAGTAGTATTAGAATACATAAGAACTACTTTATTATTTTAGGGGGAAAAAATGTTTCAAAATCCAGAAGTTACAAAAAAAAGGAATAAGAGCAGGTGCTGATCATTTTGATGTAATGATGGCGCCAAGCACCACTTGGCAGGTGGAGTGTGAAAGGAGATGTTTGGCACTCCCTGGATCTCCCCCATTCCCCCGCACCAGTACTCAGTGTCAATTGTGGGATTCATGTTGTGATGGAGAGTGGTCCAGGGTGAAATTAACCTAACAGGCAGAGGTGGAAGGTTCTGCGCCCAAGAAGGACGCAATGAATTAATGCCTACTGTGCTTTCATCATCTCCTTCCTCCACTGTCTTATCAACATTTAATTTATACATCTTCTTAAGAAGTAAATGTCTGTACATGAAGTGAACACGTGCCCATAGGTTTTCAGCAGGTACCAACATTGTCAGAGTAACACTTTGTTTAACCGGAATCATATATCTGGCAATCTCTTCTTTACTCCCTCAAGAAAAGAAGGAGTAAACAGACTAAAAATGAAGAAGGGAGCAAGGAAATCAGTAAAGTATGCAGCTGCTTACATTGAAAAGCCCCTACTATGTGCTGGAAGCCAAAGCACCTACTATGTGCTGGGAGACAAGCTATCAGACAGTATATGTGTTTTAATCTCACAAAGTGTTTCAGAGTAGCTAAAATGGGTGATACAGAGTAAACACACTGAAGCTAACAAATAGTATTCTTCGGAAAACCCTTATGGTTTATTTTTATTTATTTTAGATATAATGTGAGCACATTTGGTACCTTGATTTCCCAGCCATCACCATGCTCAAGTAACATAAGGTTGTGGAGGCAAGCATACTGATGAGAACAGGAAATAGCAGGCCGCTGGAAGGAGAAGTAAAGAAAACAAAAAGGCATCAGCCTTTTATGCGAGGGCCAATTGCCTCTCCCTCCTCAGCCATCTCTGATGACATCTCATCACAGCACACATATTTACACACCTGTCATGCCCTGAAGCTTCACAGATTCGATTATAAGGGGAACCAAATGGATAATAGAGTTTGAAATAGTTTTCATCAGAGTATCTAAAATAAAAATTTTAAGTCCTTAGAAAGCAAATATCAGCATAATGGATGAACAGACTTATGACTAAAATGTAGCTTTGAGCAGTTCAGTATTTTTATGTGCCCATAATATAGATGTTTTCAGCTGTCTAAATTGTTTTCAACTACTTAAAATTTTGACAATACCAATCTTACAAAATAAAATCACCAGATAGACGTTCATTACTAATACATTTTTATTCTATATAAAAAACCTTGAGAGCTAGATTGGTTTTCAGTTAATATTCTTTAGAGACTCCAGATTTTAAATAATATAATTATTAGAAATCATATATTCTGTTTCTGACTTTTTGCTAGGTTGATCCAATCCTAACTCAAGAAGCAGATCTATAAGGCATGCCTACTGTCCCTTATATGCTATGTATTTACTTGTATGTAATAAGTACTTTAAAAGTAAAATTCATATTATTTTATAAAATTTCTCTTGATCCTAACAAAATTTTATGCCTCTTATTGACTTAAGGGGTACTGACTAGTGTACATTTTATTTCATGTCTTGAAAAGTAAATATATCAATAATAGAATGAATAAAAGTAAATAGGGTGGATTTTCTTGCTACTGAGCATATTGTTTTCTGTTCTGATTCACGAGTGATGAAAGAGCATTTCTGTATGGTGGTTGCAAGGTAGATAGGCCAACAAAAGAAGGATCTTTGCAGCAGACAAAAACGTTATGATGGTCCTTTTTATCCAGCCATACCAATATATTTAGATATTTAGATCAGATATTTAATTATACTGTGAAGTGAAAACCACAAGCTTAGAAAGAAGTAAGCCAGAAAGTCTGTCTTACATCAGAACAAGATCACATACATTGATCAGGTCAACAAGATAAAATTAGAAGTACACTTAGCTTCTTTTTTTATGTATCTGTGATATCAGAAAGCTGTCTGTTACAGATCATAACAGTCAGAACTTGTGGCATCCAGTTTGGAAATTTTGGCTTTCAGCTGCTCTTATCAGAACAAGCCATTCATGGCTTCTATCTCAACTGCCCGATGAGGTAGCAGATGTTTTCTTAAAAACCACTCATCTGCAGATCCCTTAGCTGCCAGGAGCTCTTCTATACATGTGCCTTTCCTGTTGTGTCCTGTCCAAAGTCTCACTGTCATGACCCTCTTATCTTCAACGTATACATATGTAAGGTATTCACAGGTTCCACAGACCCTGACTGCATCCCCATACATTTTACCCTGTTTTTCAAAAAGTTAGTATTAATCATATGTTGACTCTTAATTTTATTCCTTTTTAAAATTTCAATGTTTTCATTGTTCATGGCCAATTAATAATGGAGTAGCGTCAGATCACAGGGTGTTTTACACAAGTGTGCGAAGTGAGGTGCTTGAACAGGTGTTTGTCAACATGAAAGATGCAGAGGATAAATCAGCTAATCAAGAATTGTCCAGTTTCCCTTCAAAGTACGAAATGACACAGCTGACCTACAATTCAGGATCTTTTAATAGCTTAAGAACCAAAAACTACATGTTGTTATCCACGGTGTGGAGAAATCTTTTGGTTCAGTAATTTACGAAATTATTGATTCAAAAACAAATTTGAAGACTTAAGATGAGGCCTTGATAATGTGACTATTCTTCATTCAGAATTGAAATTTTCATAAGGGTAATAAAGATTTGGGTGCATAAAAAAGGAATTGTTTTTTTTGAGAAAGGTTGCCTCACCAGTTAAATCTAATTTTCATTAATAATACCATCACTAAATAATTTTAATATTAAAGTGAATTTGAAATATTAAAATGTGTTTGATTAGAACATCAGTTCTAATCTGTGGCTTACCAGGTTTTTATTTTTATGATCAAATGGGTATGATTAGTCTATATCACAGGGTTTCTTACTGAGAATTACACCTGTCTCCTTTAACATGCGGCTCTACCAGTCTGAGGTTCCTGTGCATAAGATTCGATCCTATGGTCATTACTGAAAGTTTGGAGCTATACAATCTGAGTATGTTACCTATCTCAGACAGAAGAACTCTCAGATAAAGGAATTCAAAAATTAAGAAAAACTTTAAGGTCAGTGAGTGCAATATCCTTCCCACCTACATATAGGCAAAGCAGTGGTGTAAGGAACAGGTGAGGTAACCTGCCCAAGTCCTGGGTGGTAAAGTTATAATTCCAGCCTAGGGAATTTTAAATGATGCATTTTCACTATTTAATCTAAAATTGTTTTAATTTTCATACTGCTCAACTCTATTAAACTAGTTTTCATTTCCTTTTCATTTATCATCTTTCATTTTAGACGGAGCACTTTGCTCTTTCTCTCAATGTATGGCCTCTGCTAGGGAATCTTCGAGAGCTCGATTTGCCTAAGCTATGCCTTCTGCACCTCTGAAGATACAGACACATGCACACACACACACACACACATGCACACAGATGCATGCGTGCACATACACACACCCCTTTAATTCCAGCAAGACTGTTCTTTTACCAAATGGCTAGGTGAGTTAAGGATATGTGAGCTAAGGATGTGTCCAGTGCAGTAATTAAAAAGCAGGGTATCATAAGCTCTGGGGGATCCCAATAGCATTTAATCACTTCATGTTTACGAATGCTGTAATATGGAACTTCCAGCAATCAGTAAACCACAGGATCACAGAATCTTTTCATCAAAAGTGGTCTTAGAGATTTTACAGTCAGGATGCCAGGGCACAGTTGTATTGTGGCTTGCCCTGCATTACCTAGAAAGCTGATAACTCGTGGCAGCTGGTCTTATCACCACAGAATTATTCATCTCGAAATAAGAAGTGAGATTTTAAAAATAATTAAATGGGACCCTGTACGTTTCTTTCTTGTCCTAAAAGGGCACAATTATTCACAATGTTTTCGTTGTTTGAGCAATGGATGGTTAGTGAAATTATTTTCACTGATAATTTGATGACCTATTTCCTTTGTAGTCATAGACTTTAGAACATCTACAGTTCATCTGTTATATGTATGAAATCTATTTTACAGCTCTATGAAAAAGTTGCACTGCTTCTGACAAATTTAGGTAAGTGGAATTATTTTTTTTATTTCATGATAACATTACTGTGGACCAGAAAGTATGTTTCAAAGCTTTCTTTGTAAAACACTGCTGAAAAAAAAAATCCTTTGTTTTAAATTGTATAGAACAATTTTTTCTTTATCCTCATCAGAACATTTTAAATATGTCTAGTAATTGGAAGAGCTCTTCTTTTTCCTTTTTTCTTTTTTTGTTTTGTTTTGTTTTGTTTTCTTTTCTTTTCTTTTTTAGACAGAGTCTCACTTTGTCATCCTGCATAGAGTGCCATGGTGTCACAACTCACAGCAACCTCCAACTCCTAGGTTCAACTGATCCTCTTGCCTCAGCCTCCCCAGCAGCTAGGACTACAGGGACTTGCCATAATTCTCGGCTATTTTTTCCATTTTTTAGTAGACATGGGGTCTCGCTCTTGCTCAGGCTGATCTCAAACTCCCGAACTTAAGCAATCCACCTGCCTCAGTTTCCAACAGTGCTAGGGTGTGAGTCACCACGCCTGGTGCTTTTCTATCTAATGCTTTAAAACATGTCACAAACATTATATGTCATTAACTAGTGTAATTAAGTTTTTCTTGGTTCACAAAAACATAATTTCAAATAAGTACATATGTATAAAGTGTCCAGAATCATTTAGATAAGGGATCATTTGCTATTGCCTATAATTTTAATATGTTAAAATTTTAAATGTACCAAATTTTCAGCCAGGCAGAGTGGCACATGTCTGTAATCACAGCTACTTGGGAGTGTTAGGCAGGAAGATGTTTTGAGCCCAGGAGTTCGAGACCAGCCTCAGTGGTACAGTGAGAACCTGCTTCAAAAAATAATAATAATAATAATATTACACTTTTAATGGTGTAAAAAATCACAGACAAGTATGATTTGTAGACTAGAAACTTTGTGACACAAATATAGACAGGTAAGCCATCACTGACATTTGTAGAAATAAACATTCATCTGGGTAAGTCACCCCCAAAAATATTTCTCTGGCTCTATAAAGCACCAAAATAACCTGATAGCTAGCAATAAGTTATATATTAATCACTTTTGTCAAGACAAAGAAATTGTCCCAATTTTATTAACAAGGTATTGGCCCTTGTGCTCTATGCAGTCTGAGAAAATTACAGGTTCCTACATATAAATTGCTTTAATGCATTCCATGTGTAGCTTGTCCGAGGGGGAGGGCGGAAACCACAAGTGTTTTTATTTATAATAATCACTGTGATAAGAGATACTGTTTATCGACCCTTTCTATGTGCCAGATACAGAGCTAGCATTTTACCTTATCTCTTTTAATGGCACTGAAATCTTTCATCACCATCACTTCTTGCCTAAAAAGATAGAAAGAGGCCTGTGTCCATGGACAAGGGAGCTGCCCATGTCTAGTGGCAACGTGGTGCAGACTGGCAAAGATACCAGAGGAGATTCAGTCCTGGCCCATCCATCGGTGGGACAGTCACCATGGGTGGGGCAGAAACCAAGAGGAAAAGGCAAGGCTGTTGCAGAGAGCCGGGACTGGGAATGAGCTCCCTTCAGCCTGGCTGCCTCTGCTAGTGAAGCACTCGGTATGTTCAGTAGCCACTTCTCACCAGGTCCTTGTTGGGGCTGGTCCATGAACCTGAGGATCCTAGGGAAGGTCCATTCCAGCTCTGGCCATCACATGCCAAACTAGACTCTCCTGCAGCAGTCTTTGCCCCACCCCGTGCCTAGGGAGAGGGAGCTGAGAAGGGGTCAGATTCAGTCTCTCAACCGCTGCTCCCCTTTTGTCCACAGAACAGCCTCGCACAGAGTCCGAGTGGGAGAACAGCTTCACCTTGAAAATGTTTCTTTTTCAGTTTGTCAATCTGAACAGCTCCACATTTTACATCGCGTTCTTCCTCGGAAGGTAAGTGCCCGCCCCCATTCTCACCTCCCAAGGGCAAGGACAGAATGCTCAGAGGTCACTGGACAGGGCAGTAGAGAAGCCTCCCTCCTCTAGGGTGATTTATACAAAGTGTAAAAAGGGAAGATCATCTTCTTCCCAAATCTCAAACCACCTCACATTCCAGGGACAATAGTCTCCACTTGAAAGTGCCTGTGTGGAGGAAGATAGTTTGCATGTGTGAATCATGCCTTGAAAACTCTGGCCTCTGTGTGCACCTGAATCCGGGCCCCAGACCTGAGAGCAGGTGTCTCTGGCCTCTGTGTACACCTGAATCCGGGCCCTGGACCTGATAGCAGGTGGCTCTGGCCTTCTGTGTACACCTGAATCCGGGCCCCGGACCTGAGAGCTGGTGGCATGAGGGGGAGGTGGCTGCAGCATGTCCTGGCTCCCTGACTTCAGAGAAGAAGGAAAGATATCCCAGCAGGGAGGGGGCAGAAACCTCCTCCGGATCTTAGAGGATGCCAGGCAACTTTTAAACCCAGCAGTTATGAGGATATGGGAAGGCGTCCATGGCTTGCGGTAATGTCGCGTGGATTCCATTGGATCCAGAAGTGTTTCTGAGGAGGTGGGAAACTAGGAAGGGTCAGGTACAGGGTTTTGGTGAGATAGATCCAGCAGTCTCTCCTTGGTTTCAATCTAGCACAAAATTCTGGTCAAATAGTTTAACAGTCTGTTGAAAAGACAGCCTTGCTACTGTACAGAAAAGATCAAATGTATGTAAACCCAGAAGCAAAACTGCTGCTTCCCCCAGCCGGAGCTCTTGATATTCACAGCACGCAGCACACGCTGGCCTCTGTGGTCAGCAGCTGGCCACAAAGGCCAGAAGAGAAATGTCCTCTGGAGAACTGCAGAAGCTGTTGGAGGGCTTCCTAATTCCCTTAGACCTAATACTTAGGGTACCAGTAATCCACACGGAAAGATACGTTAAGCTGAATATGCTATAAAGCTTAGACCTACCGAATGCTAATGGCTTATGTTTCTCTGTGTGTTGAAGATTTACAGGACACCCAGGTGCCTACTTGAGGCTGATAAACAGGTGGAGACTAGAAGAGGTCTGTATTCTACCATTATTCCTTGTTTCCTAAATATACTTGCATTAAACACTTCGGGCAACTCTGGGTAGACTAGACACCTGACGCCCTTTCTTCCTGTCCACTGATTCTGGAATTTCTGTGTTTGCTTATCTTGCAGTGCCACCCTAGCGGATGCCTTATTGATCTCTGTATGCAAATGGGTATTATAATGGTGCTAAAGCAGACCTGGAATAATTTCATGGAACTTGGCTACCCGTAAGTACCCTGGAGTCAGGAATCGAGAGGCAGCATTGGTCAGTGTTGGCTTTTCTAGGTGTGGCAAGTAAGATAAGCAATGCAGACGTGTGTGTATCTGGAACTGGGAGTTCACATTTAGACGTTCAAAGGCAGTGTTGAAAATAACAACCATCGGCTCTTTTGGAAGATTTAGTGCAATTCACATGAATGAAAGTGAGGAATTCTTTGAGAAGTCTCTGTGGGCCCCTAAATATTAGACACTTACCTGCAAGCTGCTTTAAGTGATGCCTGTGACCCTTTGGGCTTCAGCATTCAAGTCCCTAGCTGCCTATGACATTTTAACTATACCTTCATTCCCTTATCTCTGTGATAACTCATGAATGGTAATTTTTTTTAACTACCTTAAATTTATACTACACTGAAAAAGAACTTAATGGAAAGAAGTTGAGGGTTTCAAATAAGAAACAGAAGTCAGCAAATTTTTACCAGTTGACAACAATGAGCAAAAAACTCACACCACATTTATAAGGATAACCTTGAATTCTGCTGTGTTTGCTAGGTTCTGGTCAGTTCAGTTTTCTGGGGGATGTAAATCAGCAACACTTCTATTTCTGCTTTAATTCCACACCCATCGGTTTCAGTGTCAGCTCAGCGCCTCTCCAGAGACAGAGAGAACGCCATGTTCAGGGGGGCCACTCAGCCAGAACCATCAGCTGCAACTTCATTCACTTCAGAAAGACTTTTCTTAGCTCCCTGTCAGAACCCAAGCCAGTAATTTTCTATTCTTAGATTATATTTAGAAATCTTATTCCAGGTGTATTAACATTCCCTATAAAACTGAGGGGGGGGTTTAAAAGAAAAAAGGTATAAACCAAAATCAAAATGTCCTGGACATAAAGGGAACTATGGACATAGAGCAAAATTGTGAAGTAGCTAGGGTTTATCTTCCAGACTCATCCCTTTTTTTCTTTTGTTACACACATGCTTGTTTTGGTATTTCTTCTCCTGGATACCTTCAACCCTTTCCTTGGCCTCTGCAGAACACAGACCTCCCTCTCTGCATTTTCTCCCACTTTCCTGTATTATAAAGTCCACTTCTGAACACCGCCAGGGGTTAATGTGCTAACTTACCAATGCACAGCGCATCTTGCTTGGCGTCAGAGCCCCTGTGAACACAAGCCAAAAGCAAATAAGTGCAGTTGTGGGCCTGCAGACGTCCACATGCCAAGAGAGATAGCATTCGGAGGACCCCTGAAGTCAAAAGATGCAGGTCAGCACTCACATAATAAATTGCTCAAGGGTCTTAAATTGAGCCATGTAAGCCAAATCTTTCTCTCCTCAGATGTCTGGGTGACGCTTTTGTACCAGGGGATCAGTTCATAGATATTCTCAGTCCTCTATTCAACCCTGCTAGGCAGTGCCCAGCATGAGACAATTTCATGAATGATTAAAATAAATTAACCAACCTTTCTATTTACTTGCAAGTAGAAATGGTTGGAAATACGGACTCCACTGTTATTTTCTGCCTAACCCAAGGCTTTATTTTCTTGACTTTTTCTGTCCTGAATTTTTCCAAATTACAATTCGATAGTCTTACTCTCTCTTATTACTTAAAACAGTTCCATTTTTTATAAGACATTGATCTTGTTGTGCAGGTTAATTCAGAATTGGTGGACTAGAAGAAAAGTACGACAGGAACATGGGCCTGAAAGGAAAATAATTTTCCCACAGTGGGAAAAGGACTATAACCTTCAGCCGATGAATGCCTACGGACTCTTCGATGAATACTTAGAAATGAGTATGGAAATATTCTACTCTATCCTATAAATTGTAAATGTCAATTGTAGATCTGTGGCTACAGTCGACTAAATGTACATTAGCATCATGGCCTTCTGTGTGTAGGGATTTCTGAGTAAAACCCAGAGGAAGCAGAATCTTGCTTAATCTATGCAGCACTTGACGTTTAAGGAATCAGATTTCTCTAGAATCAAACCAAAGCAGTTTCTCTTAGCATGTATCTAAGGCTTTGGGAACAAATTACCTGGGTTCACATCCCAACCGTATCACTTATTAACTGCAAAATCTTGGGCGGTTAACATCTCTCTCTGTCTCAGTTTCCTCATCCTGAAAGTAGGAATAATAACAGCAGTAACGACATGGTAGAATCTTTGGGTGGATTCAAACAGGGGTGGGGAACCTGTGGCCTTCTGATTTCAAGATTGTCCTTCATTAATCACCAAAGGAAGCAAGAAAAGCTTCATCTTTTTCTGCTGAACCCCTTTCGATAAAAAGATGTGTTCTGTAAAATTTGGATTCAGTCAAAAGGTCACACTCAACGACTTAGAAGGCCACATGTTCCCTTAAGGCCATGGGTTACCTGCCCTTGGCTGGCTCACGGTGTGTACTTGGTACTTATTACTATATCATTATCATTATTCTCTTATTCTTCTCATCTCCTGGGGGAGGGCTAATAAAATCCCTTAGCAGATGTATTGAGTGTGTATGTGTTTGTGTGTGTGTGTGTGTATATATATATATATAATGTTTAAATTCTATTAATATAGAGGTAGAAGTGGGGTCAAGGGCAAGAAAGATACATTACTTCTGAAGAAAACAATTCTTTCTGGGAAAATCTTGAAATTAAAGGAGTATGGAATAGAAACTTATTGTTTCTTAGATTGCTCATGTTCTAAGCATCTACTGATATCTTTAGAATTTCAGTTACAGAAAGGCAAGATGATAGAACTTGATGAAGAAATCAATTTGGGCATTAAAAATAAACTTAATGGCTC